CAGGCATTGGCTACAACTGTATTAATATTCATGAGGCGAAGTTTCTCATTGGTTTGAAGGCAGCGTTGGTGTTTATATAAACTTTCTGCACGTCTGATTAAAGTTCTGAAAACGTTGCTGGTGCTATCGCACATTTTTCTTCTGATACAGCGTTTGTTTCTGAATAAACATGGCAGGAAAGGTCGTGCTGTATTACTTCGACGGACGAGGGAAAATGCTGGTGTTGAGGTTTGTAACAGGCTGAGCACTTTTTAAAGGGAGCTACAGACAGATGCTGTAGATGTTCATGCGTTTTCTTATTGCATTCACAGTTCGAAGAGGTTTTTTGACAACAAGGGAGGAATATGAAAAACTGGTGAATGGTAGGTTCTGCTTTGGAAGTCTGAAATATGTATTACAGTAAAACTTTCTTGGGTTAAACTCCATAGAGGCTCACATAACAGTCCCACCTATGGGCTCTGTGATGCTAAAAGTATTTCTTATCTGAACTCCAGATGGAGCTCTACTGTTTCACCAGGTTCCACTGTTTGAAATGGATGGAATGAAGCTGGTACAGTCAAAGGCCATCATGAATTACATAGCAGGGAAATATAATCTCTATGGAAAGGACCTTAAAGAGAGAGGTATGTGAGTATGAAATTATAAGGGAATTATCAGCAGGCCTGCTTGAATCCATTCAGACCAATGTAATGTCCTTTTTTCCTTTCTTTCAAGGATTGATATGTATGCAGAGGCTACTCGAGACATCATGGACATGATCACGATGCTGCTCTTTACACAACCAGAGAATAAAAAGAGTGAACTGGAAAAAGTGCAGGTCAAAGCCAAAGTCCGCACTCTTCCAGCTTTTGAAAAGGTGTGGAGCTCCTCACCATGAACCCCTTTTCTACTGCAGGTCTGACTGTAAATATAAGGGTAAATCCACCAATTTGAAAAAATAATATTCTGCATAATTTAGTGGTTGCGAAGTAAACAGAGTCATTTAGAGTGGTTTGATATGAAGTGGTTCACTGTAGGGAAACATACTGACTTAGATTTCCAAAACCAGTGAACCGACTCATGACTTCTGAGTTTTTATGTGTAATGTTAATAATGTGGGAATGTGTCTCTCCATCATGAATGGGTTTTTAAAAATATGTTTCATGCCAAAATCGTAACTCTAAACTATTGTACAACAGTGTCTCAGACATAAAGCAGCGTATTCATAACTTGTAATGTCTTCTAAAAACCTTCTGTGAGGAAGTTCTTAGAGGCGGCCGTCTGGTTCCTATCACCACCACTGTGAACAACTGAGTCAGTAAGTTTCTCTAGAACGGAGCGTTTCACATCAGACCACTCTGAATGGCTTTGTTTACATCTTAGACATTTAATTGTGCAGAAATTTGATGTCCTGCTTAAGAACTGTGTGTGCTGTATGTCTTTCAGGCTCTCGGTGCTTCTCAGTTCCTCGTGGGTAACCAGCTGAGCTGTGCAGATGTCAACTTCTTTGAAGCCTCTCTGATGCTGGAAGAGGAGTTCCCCACAATACTGTCATCCTTCCCCAACATCCAGGTGAGCTGCGTGTGGAAACACAGAGAACACACGTTTGCTGTAAAGCAGCTTACAGTGAAGTCTGAGACTAAACTCTCACAAAGGCCGTTGTTATGAAAGAGGCTCTAATGTCCCTCAGGGTGGCTGAAAGTTTATTAGTGTGGTTACTAGAATATTCAGCAAAAGGCCTTTTAACTTTATATAATTGCACCCCAGTTGGCCCTTTTGAGCAGCAGCGTCCAGTCTTATCCACAATCAAGCAGGAGCACACCTGACCAACTGTTTGGAGGCTGTGACCAGTAGAATCAGTAGTGCTCCTTGTGATGATGTTACTCCAATTCACCTCTTTCCTCCATTGACACTAAGGTGACTTTTATTATGACAGACATTTAATTGTATCAATCCAAACTTCTACTTACCTGAGGTCCAGGGGGTTCCAGGTAAGGTGGAAGCCAGGTCACTGGTACCTGTAAAGAGAAAAATATGATGTTAAATATAGCTAACCTGGCAATATTGTTTCTAAGTTGCATGTGCAGATGTATATATGAAGGAAAATGGGCATTGTATGTATATAGGTGATGTATGTGTGTATTGTTTGTTCTCTTGTCACTTCTAGACTTTGAACAATGGTATGACCCAGAACTAATGTGGGAGGGGCTACCAGGTTATAAGGGAAGGGGGGCAGTGGAGGGGGATAGGTATTCTTGGGGAAGGTCTGTGCGGCTTTGCAGCCTCAGACCTAATAGAGCAGAATTGCTTTAGTTCTGTGTGAGATAAATGGCTGCCGGATGCTGACCGCGGGGTCAGCTGAGTCATTTGATTACAGCTTTGTTTTTTAAATCTTTCTCTCGCGAGTGTAAATATTTTTGTGTGCAAAACCACAATAAACTTCAGAGAACTGTGGAGTTGAGTACTGACGTCCAAGTGTGTTGAATGGGGAGCCCCCAGACCACTTATTAATCACAACACCATCAAAGTGGCGATCACGCATATCACACTCCTGCAGGACTGGAACAAAAATCTACAGCCGTTTGCGGATACGACTGGGCACGTCTTCTTTAGAGGTTTCAGAAGTCAGTCTTTGAACTTTGTGTGTTGAACAAAGGCCCGGCCAAAGTGTTTCATGAAACCAGTGACCTCACGTCTCTCTATTGTTTCCTGTTTCAGGCATTCCAAAAGAGAATGAAAGCCATTCCAGCAGTCAGCAAATTTCTGCAGCCTGGCAGCCAGAGAAAGCCTCGGTCTGATGGAGTCTATGTAAAGACTATTAAGAATGTATTGAGCCATTTGTCCAAGTAGGAATCTGTTGAGAACATTCACAAATCAGTAAAGCACTTAGATGTCTAGTTGTGCTTTATGTGGAGGGGGGGATTGTTTATAGCTACAGAAATGATTATGTAAAAGTTTGGTGCTACAGGCATTTCTGAGTTTTATCTGCAAGTGTCAGTCACACAGAGGCCCTGGTGACCTATAGTGCTTTGGACATTGTTATTACATTGACACAAACTAATAATACACATACTGTGAATACCAATGAGTTCAGTTTCAGATGAGCTACTGAATGACTTCATGTACGCTGTCAACCTAGTGAGCCAGGTACAGGATTATCTTTACAATAGCTGTGTGTAATCATTACACTGCATAATGTAGACAAATAGGTAGACAAGGCAGCCAGTAGGGAATGAGTGACTGTGCAATCACAGTGTTTATTACATTGACTGCAGGAGGATTGTCAAAGTGCAATTTAAAAACCAGATTTTTACATTAGACACAGCTGTGTAATTGAATTGCTTTGTGCTTTTCTTCCTGTACCAGACTCTCAGTGTAAACACAATTACAAAGCATAAATGAAATGACTTTATTAAAGTGGGTAATGGGCTATAAACAGGATCATCAGTTGTAAACAAACAAGATACACCGTGGGTAATAATAGCTTGCCCACATTGGCTAGCTGGCTAGTATTAGGTTTGCACAGAGTAAAAGAGAAACAGTTCCTTTTGAATCACTTTTTTAAATATTTCAGACCACAGCTGTCCACAAAAGTCCACAAAATGTAAACACTGCAAAATAAGGTCACCCCAACCCCCTCACGGTGTGCTTAGTTAGCCAGTTCACTAGTTACAGCTCGTTAAAACTGTCTGAACAGTCCGCTCCACTGATGATATATATATATATATATATATATATATATATATATATACAGGAAAAAGGACTTTTAATTTGCCAAACTTATATTTATGAACATTTATGAACAACAAAATTAGATGATGAAAAATACTTATTTACACCTTTCCTCTCACAACTGAAACCGATTGGTGATTAGAAAAAGGTTTTATTTTGCTCTTTCTTCTTTGTGGAGCTGCTCCCCAAACGTTTTAGCCCAACAGCGGTTCATGCAGTGGTCTTGTGTTGTCACAACCTGCGTTTTGATTTGCATTTAATACGAATAAGTAAAATCATCGATCAAACTAAACAACGATACTGTGTTTGTGTGCAGTGGGGAAAACAATTCCATGCTGTTATTTCCACAGCAAGCGTTGCGTCCACTCGGCTTCTGATTAGAGCTAGAACGAGTAGGGGGCTAGAACCAGAGAACCTGTAGAGAGGAGAATTCCCACTCTGCAGTGTCTTCCCGTTTTCTCGAACGCTAGAGGGCGCTCCCGAATGAGCCCAAAATGAATGGGTTGATGTGGAGCATTTGAGCAAAATCATAGTTTATAAATGCTGAAACATTTTAAATGTAAAAGAATTCGTTCATTTCTTGAACACAGAACAGCATAAAGTATTTTAACACCGCTGTTATGTTTCTAAGTGCTTTTAAACTCGAGTTATAGGAGTTTAAAACGGCGCCTCATGTACGTCCATGACGTCAGTGAGCGCGAACAGCCAATGAGCTGCTCCGCTCGCCAATCAATCAGCACACACTAGCAGTAAAGCCCGCCTCCTGCTGCCCAAAACCCATTTACTGTAGAAAAAAGGAAACATACAGGTGAGATTTCTTTGGGTTTTTTTTAGTGAAATCCATCCTTCTACTGTCTAAAATGAAAGAAACGTTCTGGGCGAGAGATTAGAAAGTATTTTAACTTTTAGTTTTTAGCCGTTGAGCTCCATTCACTCCCATTCACTGAGGACTCGCTTTACTGGGGGGGTGGGAAGTGGCCAGGCTCCTCCTAAATCGGCTCTGCTAGAACTGCCAGATCACGGCGAACTTTGCAGTGTCATTCAGATCAACGTCACTGTTGATTTTTTTGTTGTTATCATTTCAGGATGCCGCCCATAAATATGAGTCACCGCGAAGCAGCGTTTGATCTTATGCTCTCTTCACATTTCACACATTTCATATAACCTTATTTCACTTTAGTGGTTATGCAAGCATTGGCACAAAATCACATGCGAGGTTTACCGCTCAGCCATTGGCTACCACTGTATTAATATTCATGAGGCGAAGTTTCTCATTGGTTAAAACGCAGCGTCGGAGTTAAATACTCGGGTCTGCAAGAAGTCTGTACAACTCGTCGGCTGGGTGGTCGTGCAGGTGTAGTGATCGCAGATTGTTTCTATCTAAAAAGCATTTATTTCTGAATCAACATGTCAGGAAAAGTCGTGCTGTATTACTTTGACGGACGAGGGAAAATGGAGTCCATAAGGTGGCTGTTGGCTGTTGCTGGTGTTGAGGTTTGTAACAGGCTGAGCATTTTTTTAAAGGGAGCCACAGAGACTGTAGATATTCATGCGTTTTCTTATTGCATTCACAGTTCGAAGAGGTGTTTCTGACCACAAGGGAGGAATATGAAAAAATGGTGAATGGTAGGTTCTGCTTTGGTCACTGTCATTTATGAAGAGCTTTCCCACCGCAGTAAAGTCGTCTCGCGGTGAGCGATTCGGATTTCTGTCGGCTGTAACTCCGGAATGCAGTGACGTTCATCCACAAACACCGGGGTGCTTTGATTAGTCCTGATTTGTGGATTCAGATGACGTCATGTTCCACGCCAAAATCCGCCAATATTGCACATCGGGGATTTATTTTCTAAAGCTTATAACTTCAAAAGGTGAGCTCTCAGATGAATGAAACCAGGGTCAGACTGACCAGACTGATTTGAGAAAAATCTCACAGCTCTTCTTTTGCCCGTCCGTGTTCCAGTGCAGACCGCGAGCATAGAAAGGGAAGTGAAATATAAGCAGTTTTTGACCACGGCAAGTGATTTTTAACACAGATGACTTCAACATCTATGAAAATGTGTTTGACTAAGCAGAGCTCGATTCGTGAAAAAATCACAAATGGATCTGGCTGTGTTTGATTGCTACATACAGCTGTATCTCCTTAGGAATAAGACTATCTGACTATGGACTTTAATTCCACATACAAACATTATCAGTAACCTTGAAAATTCCCTTGTTGAACTTGATTTGGAAAATTACTCACAAACTGATTTTGTGATACTTTATTGTTTTATACGGGTCTATTTCCATTACCATGCATACAAAATCGGATATTTATATCATTTACCCAAACATTCACACAGTGATATACATGTAAGGAAATGAAAACAGGCTAGAATTGTTCGTCAGTCATTGATTAAAAAGCTGTTGCTCAAAAAAAAGCTGAAAAAATGTGGTTTTTACTTTGGAACACAATGTAAAATATATACACTATAATAATCAAGCACTGCATGCACTATTAACGTCATGTTATGCTGGTTATCATCTGATTTGTGAAAACTTTCACAAACGTGGTTTGGTATGTTTTATTGATTTATGCAGTTCTAGTAGTACACAAATACACCACCTAAACGTCAGTGTCACTGCAGTGCTGAGAACGATCCACCACCCAAATAGTACCTGCTCTCTGGTGGTCCTGTGGGGGGGCCTGACTATTGAAGAACAGGGTGAAAAGGGCTAACAAAGTATGCAGAGAAACAGATGGACTACAGTCTGAAACTGTAGAACTGCAACATTCTCCAATAAGGTAAGTGGGGCTGTTAAAATGGACAATGACTGTAGGTGCAAAGTAAGTGTATTTAACTGAGTGGCTGGTCAATGTGTGTGTTTTTCCTTGATGTTACTGTAAATGCTTTGCACATTTTGTACAATTGAATGTTTTTAAATCTAAAGACATTTGATGTTGTTGAATAAAAACATACGCCATTGGAGTAAATGAAAACGTTAAATAAAAAATAATGAATAAAATTAAAATAGAGAGTTTTCTCAAGTTGCAGCACTGATTAAAGCCTGCTTTCGTTACTTGGCTTAATACATTTTTGAAGTTATATGCATTGCTGTGCCAGTGTTTGACTAACTGGAATACATTTCACAGAAGAAAATGTAAGCATCATATTATAAAACATTGCAAGTTTTCACAAATCATCTAATAACTAAAACAAGTTAATAACATTGCTAATAAAAATTGCTATATTTTAAAAATGACTCCAAAGACAGACTTTTCATTGGAAAAGTGCAGTGAATTACAAAAGCATGACAGGAGGTAGGAAAAACAGTGAAATGTCTGAGATGTCAGGTGAGTTGTTTTGATCCTACATTCATCTCTCTACATGATCAGTTATTAAAGATATATGCAGTAACATTTCATATTTGGTCCCAAAAGCTAAATTACTGTATTGTTACACTTGAAAATGGGATTAGAACTGCATAAATCACTCAAATATATAAAACATATAAAACTGTGTTTGTGGAAGTTCTCACAACTCAGGTAATGGCTAAAACAAGTGAAATATCATTGCTACTGTAAGTGTACATGGCATTTTGAGTCAAGCCCTCCAAATATTCAGCATTTTATTGCAAAAACTGATAAATAAAGGACTGATAGACGTTCATGTATTTGTGAAATATTTCACAAATCAGAAAAGTTAATATTGGTGTGCTGTTATTTCTATACATAATGTTATTAAAGTTATACGCACTAATGTTCTATAAATGCCACCGAAAGCTGAACTACTGTGCTGTTACACATGAAAGTGAGAGTAGAACTGCATAAATCACCCAAATATACCAAACTGTGTTTGTGAAAGTTTTCACAAATCAGATGAAAACCAACATTACATGACTTTAATAGTGCATGCATGCAGTGCTTGATTATTATAGTGTTTTTTAATCAATGACTGACGAACAATTCTAGCCTGTTTTCATCTCCTTACATGTATATCACTGTGTGAATGTTTGGGTAAATGATATAAATATCCGATTTTGTATGCATGGTAATGGAAATAGACCTGTATAAAACAATAAAGTATCACAAAATCAGTTTGTGAGTAATTTTCCAAATCAAGTAATATGTTCAACAAGGGAATTTTCAAGGTTACTGATAATGTTTGTATGTGGAATTAAAGCGAAATCCATTTGTGGTTTTTTTCACGAATCGAGCTCCGCTCAGTCAAACACATTTTCATAGATGTTGAAGTCATCTGTGTTGAAAATCACTTGCCGAGGTCGGGCAAAAGAAGAGCTGTGAAATTTTTCTTAAATCAGTCTGGTCAGTCTGACCCTGGTTTCATTCATCTGAGAGCTCACCTTTTGAAGTTATAAGCTTTAGAAAATAAAACCATGATGTGCAATATTGGCGGATTTTGGCGTGGAACATGACGTCATCTGAATTCACAAATCAGGACTAATCAAAGCGCCCCGGTGTTTGTGGATGAAGGTCACTGCATTCCGGAGTTACAGCCGACAGAAATCCGAATCGCTAACCGCGAGACGACTTTACTGCGGTAGCTTTCCCTGGGGCACATGTAGCAGTCTTACGCTCAAAGACGGTTCTTCGGCGGTTCTTCAGTAAAGGAAAGGGTCCTATTTAGAACCATTTCATGCTGCAGATTGATGGAGAATGTGTTGGATACAGTTTTGTAACGTTATAGCACAAAACAGTGTTCTGCTAATGTTGCGATGTCAAGCTTGTGACAATAGAAGAACCCTTTTTTGGTGCTATATAGAACCTAGAACATAGAAAATGGTTCTATTTAGAACCGTTTCATGCTTAAATGGTTCTTTGCATGGTGGAACCATTGATGGAGAATGTGTTGTATATGGTTCTATACCAATGGAGGAACACTTTTTTGGTGCTATCAATACCATTTAAAAAAGGGTGTATATGGAATGTAGGGACAACCATTTCACAATGCAAAGAACCATTTAAGCATGCAATGGCTCTATAAAGGACTTGTGGTTCTTTAAGGGTTGTTTAGTAAAGGAAATGGTTCTATTTAGAATCATTTCATGCTTAAATGGTTCTTTGCATGGTGGAACCATTCCTCAGATTGATGGAGAATGTGTTGGATACAGTTCTGTATAGCACCAAAAAAGGGTTTTGCTATTGTTACGTTGTCAAGCTGTTAACAATAGAAGAACCCTTTTTAGTGTTATATAGAACCATTTCATAAAGGTTCTGTACGGAACCTAGGAAGAACCATTTCACAATACAAAGAACCATTTAAGCTTGCAGTGGTTCTGTAAAGGACTTGTGGTTCTTCAAGGGGTCTTTAGTAAAGGAAAGGGTTTTATTTAGAATCATTTCATGCCTAAATGGTTCTTTGCACTGTGGAATCATTCTTCAGACTGATGGAGAATGTGTTGTACGTGGTTCTGTATAGCACCAAAAAGAGTTTTGCTATTGTTATTGTCAAGCTTTTAACAATAGAACCCTTTTTGGTGCTATATATGCTATAATATACTATATATACCTTTTATAAACATTTTCTTTCATAGAGTACCACTGATATGGTTGGTGATCCTAAAAGTATTTCTTATCTGAACTCCAGATGGAGCTCTACTGTTTCACCAGGTTCCAATGGTGGAAATGGATGGAATGAAGCTGGTACAGTCAAAGGCCATCATGAATTACATAGCAGAGAAATATAACCTCTATGGAAAGGACCTTAAAGAGAGAGTTATGTGAGTATGAAATTATGAATTTATAAGGGAATTTTTAGCAGGCCTGCTAGGATCCATGCAGATCAATAATGTCCCATTTTCCTTTCTTTCTAGGATTGATATGTATGCCGAGGCTGCTCGAGACATCATGGACATGATGCTGCCACTGCCCTTTGTACCACCAGAGAAAAAACAGAATCAGCTGGAAAATTTGCAGGTCAAAGCCAAACTCCGCACTCTTCCAGCTTTTGAAAAGGTGCGCAGCTCCTCACTATGAACACTTTTCTACAGCAGGTCTGACTGCATATGAAAGGGGAAATTCTGCATAATTAAATAAATCATAATTGAATTTATCTCCCAGTAAGACTATGGAGCCTGTAGGCGGGACCCTTTCCAGAAAAAAAGCACACACGACAGTCAGAGTTTTCCTCTCTGCGATTTTAACTCGCATTGAGGCGACCCTCTCATCCACTGGGACAAACTCCAACTGCACGGCTGCCAGCCGGGGACTCATGAGTATCCCCACACCCGCCCGGCGCCTCTCACCCTGTTTGGTTCCAGAGCCGACACTGTGGGTGGAGGTGAGCCCAACTATATCTAGTTGGTACCTCTCAACCTCCCGCACAAGCTCCGGCTCCTTCCCCCCCCAGTGAGGTTACATTCCACATACCAAGAGCCAGTTTCTGCCGCAGGGGCCTAGGCCACCAAGGGCCCCCCCGCAATCTCCCACTGCCAGTACGGCACTGCACCGCTCCCCCATACTGGACCTTGCGGGTGGTGGGCCCACATGGTCTCCCCACGTTGCCTCTTCGGGCTGAGCCCGGCCGGGTTACGTGGGCTGCCCGACGCTACCCCCAGGCCTGGCTCCGGGGTAGGTCCCGGTGACACGATTGTCCGTGTCCATTTTTCCTACAGACTCCATAGTCTTACTGGGAGACTTCAATGCTCATGTTGGCAATGACTGGGAGACCTGGAGAGGTGTGATTGGGAAGAACGGCCTGCCCCATCTAAACCCGAATGGTGAGTTGTTATTGGACTTGTGTGCTAGGCATGGATGGTCCATAACGAACACCAAGTTCCAACCCAAGGATGTTCATAAGTGTACGTGGTACCAGAGCTCCTTGGCTGAAAGGTCAATGATCGACTTTGTTGTCGTTTCATCTACTCGGGACCGTATGTTCTGGACACTCGGGTGAAGAGGGGTGCTGAGCTGTCGACTGATCACCACCTGGTGGTGAGTTGGATCAGATGGCAGGGAAGACTAATGGTCAGACCCGGTAGGCCCAAGCGAATAGCGAGGGTGTGCTGGGAATGACTGCCGGAGGCCCCTGTTCGGAATGATTTAAACTCCCACCTCCGGGAGAGCTCTCTCATGTCCGGCAGGAGGTAGGAGACATGGAGTCTGAATGGACCCTGTTCAAAACCTCCATTGTGGAAGCTGCCAGGCATGGCTGTGGCCAAAAGCTTGTGGGTGCCTGTCAGGGCGGTAACCCAAGAACCACCTGGTGGACACCGGTGGTGAGGGAGGCCGTCAAGCTGAAGAAAGAGGCCTTTAGGGACTGGATGGCCCGGAGGACTCCCGACTCAGCAGATAGGTACCGACCGGCAAAAAAGGTGGCAGAAGCAAAATCCAGGGCGTGGGACGAGTTTGGAGAAGCCATGGAAAAAGACTTTCGGTCGGCCTCAAAGAGGTTGTGGACGACTGTCCGGTGACTCAGGAGCGGTCAGGGTGGCTGCGTCCAAGCTGTATTCGGCAGGGGTGGAGAAACTCTGACTTAAAATGAGGATATTGCTGGTCTCTGGAAGGAGCACTTTGAGGAACTCCTTAATCTGGGAGACATGCCTCCCTCACTGGAGTCAGGGCCAGAGGCTTCTCGCATGTCAAGCTCCATTTCCCTAGTGGAGGTCACTGAGTTAATTGGCAAGCTCTTCAGTGGCAAGGCACCGGGGGTGGATGAGATTCGTCTGGAGATGCTTAAGGCTCTGGATATTGTGGGGCTGTCGTGGCTGGCATGCCTCTGCAATATTGCATGGACCTCGGGAACAGTACCCTTGGACTGGCAGACCGGAGTGGTGGTCCCTATTTTTAAGAAAGGGGACCGGAAGGGTGTGTGCCAACTATCGGGTATCACACTGCTCAGCCTCCCTGGGAAAGTCTATGCCAAGGTGCTGGAAAGGAGACTTCGACCAATAGTTGAACCTCGGATTGAGGAGGAACAATGCAGATTCCGTCCCAGCCGTGGAACAATGGACCAGCTTTTCACTCTCTCACGGATTGTTGAGGGTGCCAGGGCTGCTACTCTGGGCCATTCAATCTCTGTACTCCCGGAGCGAGAGCTGTGTTCGTATACTTGGCATTAAGTCGGACTCTTTCAGTGTTAGCGTTGGACTCCACCAGGGTTGTGCCCTGTCTCCACTTCTGTTCGTGATATTCATGGACAGGGTGTCAAGGTGTAGCCGTGGTCAGGAGGGCATTATGTGTGGAGGCCGGAGGGTGGCGTCTCTGCTATTTGCAGACGATGTTGTTCTTTTGGGCTGGATCACATGGATGCCTCCAGCGGGCACTGAAGCAGTTTGCAGCTGAGTGTGAAGCAGTTGGTATGCGGATCAGCACCTCCAAGTCTGAGTCCATAGTCTTAGCCCGGAAAAGGATGGTATGCCCACTCCAGGTAAGGGGAAAGGACCTGCCCCAGGTGGAGGAGTTTAAGTATCTCGGGGTCTTGTTCACGAGTGATGGGAAGAGGGATTGTGAGATCGACTGCAGGCTGGGACAGGCAGCAGCAGTAATGTGGTCGCTGTACCGGACTGTATTGGTAAAGAGAGGGAGCTGAACCATAAGGCGAAGCTCTCTGTTCACCGGTCAGTCTACATCCCGACCCTCACCTATGGTCATGAGCTGTGGGTAATGACCGAAAGAATGAGATCGCGAATACAAGCAGCGGAAATGAGCTTTTACTTCGCAGGATGGTGGGCTACACTCTATTTGATAGGGTGAGGAGCTCGGCCATCCGGGAGGAGCTTGGAGTAGAGCCGCTACTCCTGTGCATTGAGAGGAGCCAGCTGAGGTGGTTCGGGCATCTGATCCGGATGCCCCCTGGACGCCTCCCGGTGGGGGTGTACCAGGCACGGCCTACTGGGTCAAGACCATGGGGTCGTCCTAGGACCCGCTAGGTCCCCGGGAATGAGCTGGAGGAAGTTGTCGGGGACAGGGTCGTCTGGGATTCTCTGCTCTCCCAACTGCTACCGCAACCCTAGCTGGACTAAGTGGTTAACGATGATGATGATGATGATGATGATAATTCAATTGATAAAATCTGCATAATTTAGTGGTGGAGAATTAAATACAGTCATTCAGAGTGGTGTGATATGAAGTGCTTCATTGTAGGGAAACTTACAGACTTAGATTTCCCAAACCACAAGTTTTTATATGTAACGTTAATAATGTGGAAATGTGTCTCTCCATCATGAATGAGTTTTTAAAAATATGTTTCAGGCCAAAATCTTAACTCTAAACTATTGTAAGTCAGTATTTCAGACATAAGGCAGCGTATTAATAATTTGTAATTGTAAGGGTCCAGCTTGCACCGCCGGCTGCCTGCCATAACTTCAGGGAACACCAATTCCCAGCAGCCCTCGGGATGATTAGGCCTAACCCGACACACCTACAGACTCCTCTACTTAAGGCTGTGGCAAACAGCAGCACTTTGTCACACCTTTGTAGAGGGGTGACCGGTATGGTACACAGCCCAGGTGGGTATTTAAACAAAAAGAAAAGAAAACAAAAAGAAAAGTAAAGAAAAGGCGACTGGAAAAAACAAAGAGAGTAATTGCCCCAAAATTAAAAAAAAAAAAGACTTGAGCTACAAACTGCTCCAAGCAAAAGAAAAGGTGTTTGCTTACAGTGGAAGTGTATTTTGTTTTCTCATTATCTTTTATTTCACGTTTCTAGCTCAGCCTTTGTTTGAGCTGCTTTCAGCGTTTCTTTTGTTTGCCGTTTTCCTGCCTTTTCATTTCCCCTGCCTTGAGGTGTTTTACCCATTGTCGCCTGTGCTTCCCAGTGGCACAGTGGTAACTCCACTGACCACCGATCAGTACATTGGCGGTTTGAGACTGCCTCTGGGTCACCTCAACTGCAACGTGGCAACCTCGCACTCCATTGCCCCAAAAAAATGTATATTATTTAACACTCTTTCATCACTGGTTTTCATTTCTGCATTTGGGTCCGCCTCCCCGCAGTCCCGTAACAGTAATGTCTTGTAATAACCTTCTATGAGGAGGTTCTTAGAGGCAGATGTCTGGTTCCCATCACCACCACTGAAAAGCTGAGTCAGTAAGTTTCTCTAGAACGGAGCGTTTCACATCAGACCACTCTGAAAGGCTTTGTTTACATCTTAGACATTTACTTGTGCAGAAACTTTGGAAAATCAGTGAAATTCCCCTCTAAGCCTTGTATTTATGTCCTGTTTTGAACTGTGTGTGCTGTACGTCTTTCAGGCTCTCGGTGCTTCTCAGTTCCTCGTGGGTAACCAGCTGAGCTGTGCTGATGTCAACTTCTTTGAAGCCTCTCTGATGCTGGAAGAGGAGTTGCCCACAATACTGTCATCCTTCCCCAACATCCAGGTGAGCTGCGTGTGGAAACTCGTGTAGAACACACCTTTACTGTAGAGCAGCTTACAGTGAAGTCTGAGACTAAACTCTCACAAAGGCCGTTGTGTAAGAGGCTCTAATATCCCTCAGGGTTGCTCATTAGAACATACAGCAAAATGCCTTATAAATTTAAGCTCTGTATTACTGCGGCACGAACAAAAACCCTTCTGCTGTTAATGGATTGGTCTTTGACTGTAATGCTGATCGCACGGAGCACCGAGTGTACTGATGAAGTAAGAAGCTGTTTTTGTTTAAACTGAGTCTGAAAACTTATTTTCTTATCTAGAACTTGGCTGGTCAGTTAGCCAACAGGCTAAAAGATAGCAAACATGCTAAACAACTCCAACATTAATATCACAGGCTTGAATTACAGTATGCACAATGCGATTCACTAAAAAAGGGCAATATGAAAGTCTGAAGAACGTCACCTGAATGTCTATATTTAGCAACATTTTGCATTGTTGGGCTGCAGGAGTCAGTATTTAAATTCCTACGTAGTGCACTATGTAGGGAGCAGGGAGCCGTTTGTCAGGCTGGCAGACGACTCGCGGTGGTAATTTGACCAAAAAGTACTTACAAACTGAAAGTATTTGCATTAAACAGTGCTGTGTTATCATATGTTCACTGTTAAACGAAAAAAGATTTAAAAATCATGAAACGTCTGCAGTTTACAGTGATGGGCGACCCAACGTTCTTCTCCTCCTTCAGCGGTCAATGGTTGCTTAGCAACAATACCGTACTCTAAAGGAACTACATTTCTTGGCGGAAAACTTGTTTTTGTTGGTTATCAATAATAACTTAAATAATTATCTGAAACATTGTGCATTTTAATATATTTTATCTTGGCTGCTGTATTCTAAATTCAATAAGCCACTTGGGGCAGTGGGTTACAGCGATTTTATCTTCCCTGTGATAAAATCACAGTAACCCACAGCCTCTCTTGGCTTATTGCTTTAGTAGTGGCACCCCAGTCGGCACTTTTGAGCAGCAGTGTCCAGGCTTATCCACAACGGGTGGTGTGACTGTAGAGTTTCATCCCAAACGAGCAGGCGCACACCTGATTGTTTGGAGGCTGTGACCAGTAGAATCAGGAGTGCTCCTGCAGGATTGGAATGTAAATCTGCAGCCGTCAGTCTTTGACCTTCGTCTGTTGTTGAACAAAGGCCCGGCCAAAGTATTTCATGAAACCACTGAAACACTTCACCTACTTTCTACTGTTTCCTGTTTCAGGCATTCCAAAAGAGAATGAAAGCCATTCCAGCAATCAGCAAATTTCTGCAGCCTGGCAGCCAGAGAAAGCCTCGGCCCGATGGAGTCTATGTAAAAACTGTAATGGATGTATTGAGCCATTTGTTCAAGTAGGAATCTGTTGAGAACATTCACAAATCAGTAAAGCACTTAGATGTCTAATTGTGCCTTATGTAGAAGGGGGGATTGTTTATAGCTACAGGAATGATTATGTAAAAGTTTGGTGCTACAGGCATTTCTGAGTTTTATCTGCAAGTGTCAGTCATACAGAAGCCCTGGTGACCTATAGTGCTTTGGACATTGTTATTACATTGACATAAACTAATAATACACTTGTACTGTTAGTACTAATGAGTTCAATTTCAGATGAGCTACTGAATGACTTCATGTACGCTGTCAACCTAGTGAGCCAGGTACAGGATTATCTCTACAATAGCTGTGTGTAATCATTACACTGCATAATGTAGTCAAATAGGTAGGCAAGGCAGCCAGTAGGGAATGAGTGACTGTGCAATAACAGTGTTTATTACATTGACTGCAAGTCTTGATATGTCTGTTATATCTGTGCATTTCCAGCATTAAATGTATTTCTAGAAACTGTTTGCTTGTGTTTTTTCAATTATTTGAATAAGAGCTGTGGCCTTATTGATATGGTGCCCCCTGTTTGTTTGCCATGTGGAGTATGAATTCAACAGGCTGAGTCTCATATTGCTCCTCAAAACATATCGTTCACTCCACAGTCTGTACATTGAATATGTGGAAACTAAGCTCAAAACAGCCCGTTTTGACTAGTTTGTCTACTATGGCATATATCAGTTTAGCCCCGCCCATTCAAGCTGAAGTTATAAAGAGTGTTTCAGCCCAGCCTGGTTGTTGATTGAGGTATGATACAGTGCAGCCAATCAGAACAGAGCTCATTTACATGTTATAAAAAGTCAGACGCCTCTAGATAAAAGAAACAAACAAGGCTTTTCTAGTTGGTTTGAGTTCCAGAGTCGTTGTCACAAAACAGGCACAGATCAGATCCAAAAGAGGCCAAATCCAAAGACAGAAAAACAACAAAAATCAGATCAGGCAGACAAAATCCAAACAGGGAACATGGAAAAAAAGGCAAAGTTAAAAATACAGAAAGGTCAGAACAATACAACCTAAACTCAGGAATGTTTCTCAGCATGTTTATAATTCAAAAATAAAACCTAATACAAAACAGAAAATTAATTAAACACCAAATAACAGGAAAAATCAAACCCTTTTTATTCTGATCTGGAGGGGGTGCCCTCATCTCACCTGGTCTGTCTTAGTCACATGCAACTCTGACTTCACTCAGTTTAATTATAACTAACAATTTTATACGTTTTACATACACTTCGTTTCTTTAGTCAGCCTCGGCCTTCTGTGACAAACACCTTTGTTTTTCTTCTAAAAGTGCCACATCCTCCTTCATCAGCCATTTCAGTTTATTTCAATTCATTAATGTACGATTACATAAATTAATAATCACTAGCTTTAAGCTATTGCATTTAATTCTACCATTTTCTGTAAGTTAAAACACACTTGGCAATGCTCCTGATTACATCATATCACATCAATTAACATATCCCTCTTTTCCATTTTTTAATTGATCAAGAGAATACCAAGAAGTTCCTTTCACTTAACAGGTTATTTATAATCGTGACTAAACAAGGAAGTGTTAAATGCTTTTTACATGAAAAATAAAGTTATGGTCCACTAGTTATGTGTGTGCTTGCAGGCTGAGGCTCCTAAACAATGGCCATGTGACTCTATCATAGTGAGTTTACATGTGCCTAATAGTCCAATAACTGCAGAAAAACAGATTTTGGCAGGAATCCCATCAACACTTTTACATGCGTAAAATAATAATGATTATTATTATTATTAGATAATTAGATATTAGATAATTAGATAATTGGCAAACTCCGGGTTTACATGAGTCAGCTAATAATCAGACTTCTGCTTTGCAACCGGCCGATAAACTCACAGAAAAAAATGTGACGCAAAAGTAATGTAAAACTCAATACTTCATGTAGTGGCTTTGTTCTTTAAAACATCACTCCACTTTACCTGAAAACATGAACATCCATCATCTAGAAGATGAACAATATTTAAATCCTTTATATCGCCAAGCATGTAGTTGGTTTCAGTGTTGTTTTGCTGCCATCTTGCGGTAGTGCTGCTCGCTTATTTCCAGAACCACAGTCTGTTCCGCAAACGCACAGACTGAGAAATCCGAAAGAAATCAGAGTAAGAGTTTACATGCACTGAGAAATCTGATTACTGAGCTAAAATCAAGCTCTCTAAGTTGAATTTCTTAATCTGATTTCTAGGCTTTACTCTGATCTAGGAAATCGGAGTATGCTGTTTCAGATTACTGAGTGCATGTAAACACTCTCCTAGTTACAATTTACGTTTAAGATGGTACTGAGCAGTGCTTCCCAAGCCAGGTAGAAACGTGTAGCATGGCCTACACTCAGACATAGTGGCCTACACTCACACACAGTGGCCTACATTCTCACAGAGAGGCCTACACTCACACACAGTGGCCTACACTCTCACAGAGAGGCCTACACTCACACACAGTGGCCTACACCTCAGAGAGGCCTACACTCACACACAGTGGCCTACACTCACACAGAGAGGCCTACACTCTTACACAGTGGCCTACACTCACACAGAGAGGCCTACACTCACACAGAGAGGCCTACACTCACACAGAGAGGCCTACACTCACACACAGTGGCCTACACTCTCACAGAGAGGCCTACACTCACACACAGTGGCCTACACTCTCACAGAGAGGCCTACACTCACACACAGTGGCCTACACTCACACAGAGAGGCCTACACTCTTACACAGTGGCCCACACTCACACACAGAGGCCCACACTCACACAGAGTGGCCCACACTCACACAGAGTGGCCCACACTCACACAGAGAGGCCTACACTCACACAGAGAGGCCTACACTCACACACAGTGGCCTACACTCTCACAGAGAGGCCTACACTCACACACAGTGGCCTACACTCTCACAGAGAGGCCTACACTCACACACAGTGGCCTACACTCACACAGAGAGGCCTACACTCTCACAGAGAGGCCTACACTCACACACAGAGGCCTACACTCACACAGAGAGGCCTACACTCACACAGAGAGGCCTACACTCTCAGAGAGAGGCCTACACTCACACACAGTGGCCTACACTCACACAGAGAGGCCTACACTCACACACAGTGGCCTACACTCACACAGAGAGGCCTACACTCACACACAGTGGCCTACACTCTCACAGAGAGGCCTACACTCACACACAGTGGGCCTACACTCTCACAGAGAGGCCTACACTCACACACAGTGGCCTACACTCACACAGAGAGGCCTACACTCACACACAGTGGCCTACACTCTCACAGAGAGGCCTACACTCACACACAGTGGCCTACACTCACACAGAGAGGCCCACACTCACACACAGTGGCCTACACTCTCACAGAGAGGCCTACACTCACACACAGTGGCCTACACTCACACAGAGAGGCCTACACTCTTACACAGTGGCCCACACTCACACACAGAGGCCCACACTCACACAGAGTGGCCCACACTCACACAGAGTGGCCTACACTCTCACAGAGAGGCCTACACTCACACACAGTGGCCTACACTCTCACAGAGAGGCCTACACTCACACACAGTGGCCTACACTCACACAGAGAGGCCTACACTCACACACAGAGGCCTACACTCACACAGAGAGGCCTACACTCACACACAGTGGCCTACACTCACACAGAGAGGCCTACACTCTTACACAGTGGCCTACACTCTCACAGAGAGGCCTACACTCACACACAGTGGCCTACACTCACACAGAGAGGCCTACACTCACACACAGAAGCCCATACTCACACACAGTGGCCTACACTCACACACAGAAGCCCATACTCACACACAGTGGCCTACACTCACACAGAGAGGCCTACACTCACACACAGAAGCCCATACTCACACACAGTGGCCTACACTCACACAGAGAGGCCTACACTCACACACAGTGGCCTACACTCACACAGAGAGGCCTACACTCACACACAGTGGCCTACACTCACACAGAGAGGCCCACACTCACACATAGTGGCCTACACTCACACACAGAAGCCCATACTCACACATAGTGGCCTACACTCACACAGAGAGGCCTACACTCACACACAGAGGCCTACACTCACACACAATACCTCACACTGATTAAGCTAAAGCCCAAATCAAGTGTTCAGAAAATGTATTTTTTTGTACATTAAAAATGTTTAAGCATTTATAAACTATGATTTTACCCAAATGCTCCATCTTAACCCATTCATTTTGCACTCACCGGGAGCACCCTCTAGTGTTTGAGAAACCTGGAAGACATCACAGAACGATAATTCTCCTCTCCAGTGTTGGGTTAGTTACCAATTACTCATTACTTAAGTAAAATTTGTAATGGGATTACTTTACTCGTTATTTTCTGGAAAATGTAATCTCAAACTCATTACTACTTACTGCTTTTAAGTTACGTTCTAAAATCCAAACAAAACGTACTGGAATCAAGTCTACAAATATATCTGGAAAGTACAAATAAAAGGACAATAGTTCTTTCAATAGTTTATTTAGCAACATGTACCAGTATTTACAACATTCAAGATGTATAAAATGAATTTCAATATACTTGGTGTTACTATTTTCTCTGAATAAGTCTGTATATATTTAAGCGATAGAAAAATATGGTCCAATAAAAGCTTCTTCAGTGGTCCAACAAAACAAAACCTATATTTCAAGCATGTGAGTATAAGAACTGAATTAACCAAATAGCTTGCAAATGTTTTTCGGTCCGATGGCGGTACAGTTTTGCCTGTGAAAAGGCAAAGAGAGAGATTTAAGACGAACATCGATCATTTGGAGACGAATGGACTCCTCTGCCTTTATAATCACTCCAGCTGGTTTCACAATGCGTTTAATCTGCAACGAGAAACTGTCAAAGACTGAAAAGTTGCGAGTCTGATGCCTCAGGCACCGTTTAAGGTGGAACGGAAAAATTCGAACACGAAGCTGGAGAATGAGAAGCTGACTTCAGCCTCATCGAGAGACATTTTACAAGAAGTTATTCCACTTTTCCTGCCAGAGATTATTGAGGTTATAGCTGAGCTAAAGCTTAAAGCAGAGCAAAGTAAGTCTGGGCACTCTCTCTCTCTCTCCTTCGGGACAGGGGTCTTTAGCCATGAGTTTTGCTTCCGCATGCACTCTGATTAAGCGCTTTGACGAATTGGAAATGTTTAAAACTGTACATATCACAGCTTCTATTTCATAACCTATATTACTGTTGCAAAACCTGTACACTGGAAATGGTGCAATACCGGTGTATATTAATGTCTATAATCAGAGTCTAATGTGTATGTTTTATATACATTATATATATATATATATATATATATATATATGTGTGTGTGTGTGTGTGTGTGTATATATATATATTTGTATGTAGTATGAGGGGGCTACGCACTCACCTCACATCTGTGTAAATGTGACAATAAACGTGATTT